ATATTTTTATGATAGCTCTCATTCATGAACTTTCTCTTCTCTACCTAAATGTATAGTGTTCATGGTACTAAAATTTTGACAACTATGTGCTTTATCAACATCTTTTTTAAAAAATTAAAAATTTGCCGGGCGCCAGTGGCTCACACCTGTAATCCTAACTACTCAGGAGGCTGAGATCTGAGAATCCAGCCTGGGCAGGAAAGTTTGTGACACTCTTCTTTCCAATTAACCACCAGAAAACTGGAAGTGGCACTGTGGCTCAAATAGTAGAGCGCTTGCCTTGAGCTGAAGAGCTCAGAGACAATGCCCAGGCCCAGAGTTCAAGCCCCACAACTGATTAAAAAAAATTAAAATTATCCTTAAATAGTTGTTCAAAGTGTGTCAACCCAACATTTCAATTTATGAATAAATCTCAAACAATGTCACCCCTTCCATCATGCGCCCCTCCCTTTACCTTTTCAACATCTTTATATTAATATCTGAATAACTTGGCACATTGTCAAAAGTAAAAAACCTGTCAATATACCTTTGCTTTACAGAAATTTATTGAAGAGAAAGAATTCCTAGCTCAACTTGACACTTCTTTTCAAAAATGTGAAGAAATTTATAAGAATTTGGGTAAAGTAATTGTTACTTTTTGATGAGATGATAATCTCTTTAAAATGACATTTTCCCTGATGCTTCATACTTTAATGCTTTGGAAATTACTTAAATGTTTTCTTTGGAAGATTTTTGCTCTTTCACTTATATTATGATTATGATTATTATTTTTCCTGATACTGGAACTCAACCTCAGTAACTGTTGCTTTTGCTCATTTGCTGGCATTCTACCACCTGATCCATACTTCCAACTCCTCTTGCTCTTAATATAATGATAGAACCTCCTTATTTTGCTGTTGTCAGTGCAAATGGCTTTCTTCACCATTATTTTAGGAACAAAAAACTTTTCTAAGATTATTTTCTCCTTTTGTTCTTATGGTAGCTGGAGAAGAGGAGAATGTTAATGAGCCATACAAGATGCTGGAAGATAAGATTTGTACGTGCAGGAAAAACATAGATAATGTGAAGACAACTCTGCAGCAAGTCCTGATGTGGTGGGCCACTTACATGGAAAACCTTCACTTATTAAAGACTACTTTTGAGGGGATAAAGAAGGAACAAATCAAAGAGGTATCGCAGCCTAATTGTGCCTTTCTACAATACTTTTTTTTGGGTCCAGTCGTGGGGCCTGAACTCTGGGCCTGGGTGCTGTCCCTCAGCTCTTCAGCTCAAGGTTAGCGCTCTATCACTTGAGCCACAGCACCACTTCCGGCTTTTTTTCTTTTTGCTTATGTGGTGCTGAGGAATCGAACCCAGGGCTCATGCATTCAAGGCAAGCGCTCTACCACTGAGCCACCTTCCCAGCCCCTCTACAATACTTTTTGTTTGTGTCAGTAAGGGGGCTTGAACTCAGGGCCTGAGCACTGCTCCTTAGCTTTTTCACTCAAAGCTGATAATGTACCATTTGAATCCTAACTCTACTTCTGGCTATTTGGTGGTTAATTGGAGATCAGAGTCTTACAGACTTTCCTGCCTGGACTGGCTTTGTACTGTGATCCTCAGATCTCAGTAGCTAGGATTACAGGTGTGAGCTGCTGGTGCCTGGCTCTTACATTTTAAAATGTAATTTCTTTGGAGATGAATTTCACTCCTTACCTAAAAGTCCAGAGAGTCATTGTCTTTTGCAAAATTCCTAAAGGACATTTTCTTTACATTATAGACACACACGCACGCACACACGCATGCACGCACGCACGCACGCTCTTTGGAAAAGAAATAAGTAACTGAAATATTGGATGACTTCTTGACACGTTGTAAAGTTTTTCCAAGTTATATTTTTGCATTTGGTTGATACTTTTCACCTCTAAAGTTGTTATGGCTTTTGGGAAGAGAGGAAGCCCAATGTTTGATCAGCATGGAGAACTACAGAAGAAATGTCTATGTAAGACACAACTGTTGTCATTTGTGAGCCATGGAATCATCTCTTTATGATTATCTCAGGATGTTTTTCTATTCTCTGGTGCAAGTGGCTGTAGATACATTTTCCAAATGGAAACTATAAGTACTTCCTGGGAAACAGAATACTGGTATGAGAGTAGCATTTGTGTTAAGCATGTGAGTGCAAATGTATAGCATTTAGGATTAGTAATCATCCCATCTCCCTGTTACCTGGGTTGCTGCTGGAAGTTCACACTGTGTCTTCCAACAGTTCTGTCCTTATAGGACTACCAGTCAGATACATAAAACAGGCAAATAGCATTTGGACGCCTGCCGTTCGCTAACTCTGCTGTGATGCTATATGCTACCACAAGTATCTTGCAGGACCTTTTAAGTTGTGAGGGACATTTGACAATATCTATCCTTGTTACTGTTGAGTTGTAGACTTAATGGCTTAAAATGGGATCTTGTAGATGTAGAAACTCTGGGAAAATAATGACTGAGCCATTAAGGGTTCCATTAACTGAAGGAGTTTGGGAAGTTCTGCTGTAAGTTCATCAGCCACTTAGGAAGGGAGAGCAGATGCTTCCTGGATTCACAGCCGTGAGGAGGAACAGATGCCTGCTAACACAGATGAAGCCCATTCATAAGCTGGGGGTAGGGACAGGTTGGAGGGATGCTAGAGGGAGAGGCCAGGGTTCTGTAAGTGACTTCACACTCCTGCATATATTGGACTTGGGTACCAGCTGCATAGATAAGAGAAAGACAGCTGGGTGCTGGTGGTTCATGCCTCTAATCCTAGCTACTTAGGAGGCTGAGATCTGAGGATCACAATTAGAAGCCAGCCTGAGCTGAAAAGTTCCCATGAAACTCTTATCTCCTTTTAACAACTCAAAAACCAGAAGTGGATCTGTGGCTCAAAGTGGTAGAGTGCTAGCCCTGAGCAAAAGAGCTCAGGGACAGCTCCCAGGCCCCAAGTTCATGTCCCAGGACTGGCAAAAATTACTTTGTGTGTGTGTCCCATAGATGGCTTTTGAGACGCTCTCCCAGTGGAATGTACAATACACTACTGTAAATGAAGCTGGAAGTTTCCTAGTGGAAGTCAGCAATGAAGAAGTTGGATCATCCATTTCTAAAGAACTGAGAAGGCTGAATAAAAGATGGAGAAAGTTCATCTCAAAAACTCCACTTGTAAGTTGTTCCCTTGTCCCTCCCCATCGCCCACAGCAGCTTTACTGAGTTGTAATTCACAGAACTATGCAGTTCACTTGTAAAGCACACTGCACAGCCTCACAATTGTGCAGCCACCAGTATAATCAACGTTAGAAAATGTTCTCAGTTCCCTTAAAGAGCCAGCCCCTGTACCCATTCACAGTCCCTCCTCATCACTCTCAAACCTCCCAGCGGTGGGTAACACGCATCCAATCTCATTGTCTGTACAATTGCCTGTTCTGAATGTTGTACATAAATGGAATCATACAGTGTGTGGTCATACAATGACTGGTGTATTTCACTTGGTATAATGCTTTCAAGGTCCATCCACCTTGCATTACGTAAACTCCATGCGCTCTCCTCCTGCTAACTGGACATTGTAGCCTGTTGTATGGACCTACATGTGTTGCTGCTTCCCATTCATTTTGTTTATGCACATTGGGTTCCTTCTACTTTTAGTGTCGCTGTGAACATTTGCAAATCTGTGTTGGTGCAGGTACTTGTTCAGTTTCGCTTTTTGATTCTTGAGCCCTTCCTAACATACAGCTTTCTAGTTGAAATTCATTTTCCGTTAAAGCACTGTTTGTTGATTGCTAGTGGTTCACGCCTGAAATCCTAGCTACTCAGCTACTCTGAAGAGCAGAGCCAGCCCCAGCAGAAAAGTCCATGAGACTCTTATCTCCAGTTAACCAGTAAAAAGCTGGAAGTGGATGTGTAGCTCAAATAAGTGCTAGAGTGCCAGCCTTGAACAAAAAGCCAAGCAAGATTCTTGAGTTCAAGCCTCTGTACTGGCACCCAAAAAACCAGACAAACCCCCAAACAAAACATTTTACCTATTAGGTTTTAGGTTCCTAAAGAACATATATTTAGTGCCTCATAGAAAAATAGACAGAGTAAATAAGTTTTAAAATTTATTCTTTTATCCAATATTAAGAATTTACAACTTAGGTGTTTCATGAAAAATTTGCATAATTTACAGCAGTGCTGATAGATAAATTGTAAAAGTATTTTGTGAGTATATGATGTCTACAAGTGGAAATCTGAGTGCTGAACTTTATGGAATTGTTTTTTCTTTCCTTAAAATAGGAAATGAAGCAACCACTTCTGCAAAGACAGGAGCAGCCTATTGCTGATGATTCTGGAAATACTTCATCTAAAGAAGAAAAACCACCTGGTCATTTTTTAGCAGATATACCAGTTGAAGGTTCAGAAAATCATGACATGACTGTAAATGTAAGATGTTTCATTGTGTCTATGTCATTTGTATGGAGGAATAATTTAACAGCTCTTCTTAAAAAAAACCCATTGTTGGAATGATGATGAATGTATAGTTTATTAGTAACAGTTATAATATCATTTCCTAAGGAAATTCTTCAGTGGTTTCCTTTATGACAGACTTGCTAGGATGAAGGTGCTGAGCTTAGCAACCCTGAGCTTTGCCAAGCAAGCATTCTGTCTCTTGAGCCATATCCTCACTTATTTTTTTCCCCTATTTTCATTTATCAGGCTCTCACATGTTTTGCACTGAATTTGGTCTTAAACCATGATCCTCATTCCTATGACCTCCCTCATAGTTAGGATCGATCACAAGTGTGAGCCACCAAACCCAGTTTGTATTTGTTGAGATGAGGGTCTTGCTAACATTTTTTGTGGATTGACCTTGAACTATGCTCTTCCTGATCTCTACCTCCCAAGTAGCTGGACTTACAGTATGAGCTCCTGTGTGTATTTTTTATTACACAGTGGGATTGGAAGCAGACATGATTTCTGAGTTATGTGAGTCGAGTTAATCATTTCTTTGATGACTTCTCATTGGTGCTCAGAAATGGCCTACTGTTAAACTAGCCCTGAGCAATTTGTGTCTGACTGACTTTGTATAAAATGGGAGAAGGGGGAAAAAATAAAACTATCTTCCTTATTTAGTTGGACAATTTGGAAGACTATAGAATAACATGTAAGACTCTGGAAAAAGAACGAACAGCAGGTTAAAAATCAAACATGGATCAAATACCGCATATGATTTCAGAAGTGCACTTCTGCAGAATAGCAACTTGTGCAGCTAAAGCTGTGGGTTGTTCGACTGGCTTGGCAAGGTGCCCTGTCGGAGTGCTGGCATCTCCAGCTGAAAGGAGGCTTGTAGGCTGGGGACATGGCATGTCCCTGCGTGGCACAGCACTTGCCGTGCTGAAGGAAGCCCCGTGTTCCATCCCCAGCACTACAAAACAGAAAAAAACAGAAAAAAAAAAGCTTGATGAGGAAAATCTGGAAAGATCTGAATTTGTGCAATATATTTCAGAAGATAAATTCCCACCCCCCCTTTTTTTTTGTTGGTCTTGGGGGCTTGAACTCAGGGCCTGGGTGCTGTTCCTGAGCGCTTTTGCTTAAGCCTAGCACTCTACCATTTGAGCCACACAGCCCACTTCCTACTTTAAAAGATAATAGCATTAAAAATATGATCCGCTTAAAATCAACTTTGAGAGATTGCGTTTATCATATAAAAACTAGTGTAGCACATAGTAACTATTAAAGTATTATTAATGGGAAAAGATTCAGTTGTTTTGAAATTTGTTTCTGAATCAGTCTTTTACTCTCTCTCTGTTTTTAATGTGCTGGCATTGGGGCTTGAACTCAGAGCTTAGGTGTTGTTTCTTACCTTTTCCGCTAGGGTCTGTGCTCTAACACTTGAGCCACACTCCACACACACATACAGTACACATGTACACACATGCACAAATATGTCAACTGTCCTTGAATTTGTGAAGAGATGTGTGCTATTGTATAGTATTATGAACATCGTCCAGATTAAATCTTATGTTATTAAAGGGCAGTTATGTGCTACATAATGATGTTTTAGTCAATGATGGGCCCAAGATACTACTGTGGCTGTACCACACACAGAGCCTAGACAAGTGGTGGATGGTGCTTTATGATTTGTCTAAGTACTTTTTGATGCCCACATAGGGGCAGTGTCACCTCATTAATAAGGCATTATTTCTCAGAAGGCACCACAGCCATTCAATGAGGGATACCTGGCTAGGTGTGGAATTAGTGGTCTTTGATATCAAAGAGCTGAGTGCTTTTTAGAATGGAAGGTTATATTCTATGTCTTAAGTGCTGACATTTTCTTAATGATAATTTTGAATGATGTAGGCTGTGGAAGAAAATGAAGAATGCACAGAACAATTAAAAATGGGGGAAGAGGTTGAAAAACTCGTTGGACAGGTGGAAATCTGGGCGTCAGAAGCCAACTCCATTTCGAAGCTTCTGAGACAGCAGGATGGCATGGACGGCTCCAAGGAAGGGTCCTTACGGGTACGTGTACAAAACACTTCATGCTTGAGGACTTACATATACACACATTTTAAAGGAAATGAAAAGTTTTAAAGTACTTATCAGCCTACATTTGTTTTTCAATTGAGAGTTAAAAAATGGCATGGCTCTCCCCTCTCTCTCCTCTCCCTCCCAGTACCCTCTCTCCTACCCTTCCTTCCTCTCCCCCTCCCCTCCTCTCCGTTCCCCCTTTCTTTCCTCTCTCCTTTTTCCTCTCTTCATCTTTCCCTTCCATTTTCATCTTCTCTTCCCTCCAAAGTCCCTCTATACCCCCACAAAAGATGAATTATCCTGGCTCCTTTTTTATTTACACAGCACTATTTTTTATTTTATTATTATTTTTTTTTTGTCAGTTGTGGCCTGGGCCTGGGCGCTGTCCCTCAGCTCTTCAGCTCAAGGCTAGTGTTCTACCACTTGAAGCCAGCACCTCTTCCAGTTTTCTGGTGGTTTATTGGAGATGAGTCTCCCGGACTTTTCTGCCTGGGCTGGCTTTGAACCACAAGCTTCAGATCTCAGCTTCCTAAGTAGCTAAGATTACAGGTGTGAGCCACTGGTGCCTGGCCATAGCACTATATTTTACATATACCTTTCTGATCCACCTGGAATTTATTTTGAGTATATCACATAAAGCACGGCTTACTAAATTATTGTCCAATAGCTGATTTCTCTAATAACATTTATTGAATTTTCCTCTCCACTGAACAAGTTCATTTGAAGATTTATTCCTATTCTCTCAAATTACTATCTTCCTATGCAACTTCTAGTTTTTATTTTATTGAAGCATGATCCATAAATGACACGATAATCAAAATGTAACTGTGTTAAAATCAGATTCCAAAATATGTTTTTTGTTGTTGTTGTTTTTTTTTTTTTTGGGTCCGGTCGTGGGACCTGAACTCTGCGCCTGGGCGCTGTCCCTCAGCTCTTCAGCTCAAGGCTAGCGCTCTACCACTTGAGCCACAGCACCACTTCTGGCTTTTTTCTTTTTTCTTATG